TTGGATTTGTGTTTCTATGATACCAGTTGTTTTTCATTATGACCATCTTGATCTTCTGTTAGCATTCTTCTGAGATGAGCTCTTGTGCCTCATAGAAGGATGAATACTCTCTGTACAAATCCCTGATCAGAAAAATTGGCCAGGAAGAGATAAATGAATTTCCTTCTTTCTTGAAGCTAATATTATTGTTACCATGATCCTGGAGAAGGACCCTAGGAGCATATGTAAGATCAAATAGTCAGAGCTGGGAAAAGAAAAAAGCTGCCATCCATCTGCAAAACATAAGAATTCTCTGAGCATGGTAAAACGGAAATACTTTGCAGACAAGACTCCATTATGAATTTATTTAGATGTTTCAAACAGCTCTGTTTATCCCCCAATTCTATAAGGCTAGAAATAGGATGGAGAGTGGGTTGCAGTGGTCCATTCTGAAGTAGATGATGGATGATCCAATTCTGGTTGTGGACTTTCCATTTATTAATTTACTGACACTGGAATGTGACAAAGCTGTTAGAATGAACCTAATCAGGTAGGATGAGGTAGAAAGGAATACAGATGATATGGCAAGTTAAAGCAGTCCATGAAGTGAAACAGGAGAGAATACTTCTTTGCAAGTGATAGCTAGAACAAGTGCAGGGTTAGTAGCTTCCTTTTATTGCCTCTGGGCTATTTGCTCATCTCCTAACCAGCCCTGTTTGGGTCAAATTTGGGATCAAAAGGGCTACCTATAGTTTTGATAAAATGAGGTCACTGGACATTGACCGGAAGAGATACCCTATGGAGCTGTGAAAGAATTTCAGGAACAGTCAGCCTCACCTCAGTCTCTGGAAAAATCATGGAGCAGGTCCTCAAGGAATCAATTCTGAAGCACTTAGTGGAGAGGAAAGTGATCAGGAACAGTCATCATGGATTCACCAAGGGCAAGCCATGCCTGACTAACCTTCTATGAGGAGATAACTGACTCTGTGGATGAGAGGAAAGTAGTGGATGTGTTATTTCTTGACTTTAGCAAAGCTTTTGAGACGGTCTCCCACAGTATTCTTGCCGGCAAGTTAAAGAAGTATGGGCTGGATGAATGGACTATAAGGTGGATAGAAAGCTGGCTAGATCGTCGGGCTCAATGGGTAGTGATCAATGGCTCCATGTCTAGTTGGCAGCCGGTTTCAAGCGGAGTGCCCCAAGGGTCGGTCCTGGGGCCGGTTTTGTTCAATATCTTCATTAATGATCTGGAGGATGGCGTGGACTGCACTCTCAGCAAGTTTCTAGATGACACTAAACTGGGAGGAGTGGTAGATACGCTGGAAGGTAGGGATAGGATACAGAGGGACCTAGACAAATTAGAGGATTGAGCCAAAAGAAACCTGATGAGGTTCAA